GTTTAAAAAATATTATTACAAAACGTATTTAATACGTTTTATACAAAAATAATACACTTTGACACTTGGAGGTTAAAAATAACAAAATGTTATTTAAATTATGAATTGATTTAAAATTGATCTTCTAGTATTTAACAATGCAAAATATCAAAACTTTTTGCAACATTATTATCATACTTGAACCTCCTACATAATTATTTTTTATTCAAAATTATTTTTAGATCTGTATTATATCTAGTTACATTTTTAAATACTTTAACAAGACTGTTCTTTCCTTTATAATTTGTAATAATAAAGAACAAAATACTTGAAGATTTAGGTTTTATTTAAGTATTTGAATTATTTGGAAGAGTTTTTAAATTTTAACATATTTCTCAATTATATTAAAACGACACATCTTATAATACGTCTCACTTCATACACACGACAGCTTGGCAAGGTTTAGTTTCACTTGCTAGCAGATGGGACTTGTTAATAGGTATTTAGGATAAAGAATGAACTTGTGGAACAGACGAGTAATAGATGAAGAGGAACGAGGGTGACAGTGAGCCGTTCACGATGCGTCTTCGCGCATTTGCGAAATTGCCAGTAGCAGAAGCTTTCGAGGATACGACGTGTCTGTACCCTGACGTCGTGCGCGTCCTACGAGTTGCATCTGCAACAGATAGGAGACACTTTAGCCGATACCTTGCGCCAAGTCGCTGACGTCTCGGGGATCGATCCGTTCCTTTGGAAACGTTATTTGCGCTCGTGACGCAGAAATGCGACGAAAATAGAAATCTGCACCTGATATCGACGCCAGGAGAAATGAGATATCGAAGCACTATTAATTGCATTATGAGATCTTTGTTTTACCATTTGCTTAAATAGATTGCTTCGGGAGAAATCTTCGAGAAGATTATTTCTATAATTTAACACTTCTAATTGTAACATTAAAAAATTACAAAATATCTTCTTAATATCTCACGTAAAATTAGATTTTGAAAAGTATATATAGAAATAGAACTATTTTCTTTTTTAAGTAACAGAGTAATTCACTTTACGAATAAGTTCACTGCAGTGCATATTCAGCAGATTTAGCACAAATTACTAATACCGTTGCGTCTTATGTTGAAGGTAATATAACAAAAGAGTTATAAAATGTCTTGCACACATATTATAAATAGATATCTTTCATGACGTCGATTGATTTATACGAGAGTACTTGTTACAAAATGTATACGCGTACATTTTATGATATGATCGATAAATATATAAAATAACTCGTGCATTGTTTACAAATTTCATGCTTCATAAAAGTTTGTACAGAACGCGATACAAAATATATTTTCAATATAAATTTTTCTTCAAATATTAGACACATTTCGTTAAATTTATCAGTTTGTATCTGTACAGATAAATTAAATCGGCTATTTATTATAAAAGATAAAATTTTCCAACAGTAAAAAAAATTCATTTTTAATATCGCGAACGCTTTTTATCATGTAAAAATGTTTCGTAGCATATATGTTTGACATAAATGTAATTTGATATAATATTGAAATATAAGAAAGAAAAATAATTAATTAAATAAAACTAAAAGTAAGAAAAGCCAGATATCAGAAGACACGGTAGTATCTTGCGTTATACTTATAGCTTCATTTTTCCTTTTCTTAAATAATTAAGTACTGATTCTATTATCGTAATCACATCATTATATCGTCATATTGTCAAATATCGTAAAAATTCCCATTAGTTACTGAAATTATTCATCGAGAACGACCGATAAATTATTCGAATGAACTTGAGAGAAACGGCCAAAAAGTCAGGTGTGGGCCTCGTATAAATTCATGGGAAACGTTCATATACGATTTCCAAACGTATGTTCAGGGTTTATCAGCAGTAACTTTGGTCTCTTCATATCTCGCCAATAATTTCTCTTCGAGTGCAAAACTGGCGTTGGTCCTTCTACCATCCCCCACGACCGTCCGGGCCGACGTTTCACCCCCTCGAGGAGATTCTTTACCACTCTTTCCCGCGGTACCGAGAGACGTACCGAGGACCTGAGAGAATTTATCCGACAGATAAAAATGTCCCTTGGAGTTTATATAGGGAGAGAGCGGGGAGATTTCAATAAAACCCTCGATTGTAAAATACAGATAGAGGGAGGCCGTCCGGACGTTACACGGGTCAGTGAAGCACAGTACGTTTCTCTCAGCTCGTTCACCTTCAATGACTGCATACCTCAAGAGAAAACTCTCTTTGCAATGATATCGATAGCAACGCAAAGCCTTATCTGCAAGTCTCGCACATCTGTGAATTGACTCTTCTCTTAATTATGTTTTAAATCATTATAAAAAATATCAAAAGTTATTTATAATCTCGTGAAAGCGAAGCAGTTTTAATTCTTTCCTTCTCTATATACTTTTAAATAATTCAATAATAGCAGCTCTTTTGAGCATTTTAACAATTTATTGCACACGTGCATATGTTAGAAACGTTATTTAAAGAGCGTATTTTCAATTCTGAAAATAAAAAGATAGTAGAGGTAAGATCGAGACCGATTATTACAGGTTTTTTATGATTCTTAAAAAAAAGTGCATTTTGAAACACTATATATCCTTGATAACCTATCCTATATAATTCCGTAAAAAAATATCACTGACACATCAACAGACTTTGATCATCAACGGCTTTATTTAATTTTAAATGGAGCAGCAAAAATGTGACAATTAGCTCTGTATTCGACGTTGATTGTCACACGTTCTAGAACTAGCACTGACATATTTTTACAGATAAAATATACAAAAAATGTAGTTTTAATTTTAATGTCAGTTCTATATTTCAGAAAATATAATAATACCTATAATTATAATATTAATACAAGTAAACTAGTTACTTTAATTATGAAACACGTAATTTGTTTTCGTATTGTAATTTCTATACAAAAAATTGAAAAAATAAATAAATATGCATATATAAGAAATATTATATTTGTAAATACATTCTCTAAAAACATCGATTTAAAAAGATTAAAATAAATGTCATCTAATCTCGATTTATTTGGTCTGTCTATTCCATCACGTGATCGTTCTTAGTAAGAGATTGTATTCACAAATCTTTTTACAATCATGATTAACTGACTGTAAAAATTATATCTAAGATATAACTATCTTTTATAAATATAGCGAAATCGCGATTGATAATGACAAAAACTAATCAAAAAAGAGATAGAAAAAATTTATTTACCAACTTCAATTTCTTAAAAGTATAATATTTCATAAGTATAATATTACATTATGCTTTTGGTGCAAATCATTTTACGTAACAATTTAATATTATATGAGCACACAAAACATATGATCTACATAAAAATAAGAAAATGCTCTGCCATATATTAAGTTATTAGCTTTTTGACAATCATTTCTTTATGATAATCGATTCTAGTTTTCCTTATAAATGTAAAATATAGGTCCATTGAATAATTATTGTTCTTCTTAAAATACATAATAGTATTAATAGTAAAAGTCGTAATATGTAATTTGATGAAGAACAAAGTTTAATTCAGTTTTTTGTGTTATCTATTCGCTTTATGCGTTTACTTTAAAGATCTATTTTCTAAATAATAAAAACGTTATAAATAGCTAACATATTATTCTAGCTTACTTAAAAGTAATAAAAAAATTTTGCGTTTAGAATCTAAAGATCAATTATGTAACCTTTTCTCTAAAGCGAAAAAGTGAACATTTTTATGTAAATATATGCCCAATATACACATACATACATATAAAAAAATTTCACTTTTCATTTTTGTTTCTGTCTCAGGACAAAATTTACATAATTAACTCTCAAGATTAAAAATTATTCCAATAAAAAATAGAAGTGGTCTGATAGCCTGATGAAAAGGTAATTTAAAAATTATGACAAATATTTTAATCTTTTTATATGAGTACTTTAAGTTTAAGTATTCAAAATGATTTACGTAAAATTATTATACCTATTTATTTAATTACAAAATTAAGTAATCTTTGCATTGCAATGAAATTTTGCATAAATTATGAATATCTAAAATACTTATACAAAAAAAAATTGAGATTTTTACCTCATAATTGTTTAAAATAATCACTTTTTAATACTAAATAAACTATGAAACTGTGTTATTATAATAAGAACATAATGTTATTCACAGAACTTTAATATGCACGTAATTTATTTAAAATATAAATATTAACACATTTCAAATTTCAATTTACTTTGCAAAAAATGTATGGGCGATACATCTTCGAGAGCGGTTATAAACTCACTGCACGATTTAACATAAATCTAGCGTTTCTCTACTTTCCAGTAATCGTGACCTACCATACTTGCAGCATGATGATTATAACCGATCAAATAACTCGTTCGAGTTGTAAAAGTTGTGCGCACGGACGCACGTAAAATTGAAAAATATGTGGAAATATGAAATTGTAAATTATAAAATTAAATGTCCGATTTTGCGGATTAAAAACAAAATGGATACCTCATATTCCTATTTCCTCCGTTTAGCTTCAAAGTTGATTATTCGCGATTAAAATATACATTCGCGGTCTAGTCTCATCGTACGCACACAGGCGTGACTCTCGTATACGCGCGGGTGCACACACGTGCCCACATACGCTGTACATATACGCGCGGAAGGCGGCCGAGCGCGAAGCGGGTAATTAGCGCGGTGCGTCCCCGTGCAGTCTCACGCGGGATTAATTACGTAAGCTCGGACGCACGAGTGTGTTTAACTGTTGCACGTATATACGTACAAGTGCGTATCACGCTAGCGCACATGCTCTCGCTCACGAGTGTCGCGAGTGTCGCGGTGAACACCCTCGTACGTACGTGATGGTCTATTCGCAGCGAGGTCTAACCCCGCGAGACCGACGTACAAGTGTAGATCCGCACACGTCGCACCACTGCGGTTGTGGAAACGCACACGCGTTTTCCTAAGGCGCGCTTCCCGCCGCGGTACATCCGTACAGTATCCATACCAGCGGTGGCTGCGCGTCGCGTCGTGTCGCTGGACCAACACTTTGCGGCGCGATTTATAGAGCATTAAACCAACTGAGCCACTTCCGGTCCGGTCGACTCTTTTGCGCGAGGGTATACGCGATCAGGGTGCGTGTGCGAGCATACGCCGTGAGAAATTCAATCCGGACACAGCCATGTTTCTCCGGAGAGAGTATCCCATCCGCGTTGTTCGTCTACTGATAAACACATCAACCGTAATGTGACGTCGCTCGATGCTCATCGATTCGGACGTTTTCCGTGAACGAATCGATACAAGCCAGTTGCAGCCATGTAAGTGGAGAAGCTTCGAAAGAAAGCTGTAAAAGCAACGAATGTACTACTAATAAATTTTACAAATCGCACAAGATTTATTTTGTGTATATTTCCGTCAAAATTATTCAAACGTAAAATAAAATAGATTATTATTAACGTCGCGCAATTGATTTATTTAATAATGTCATTGTACAAATAATTAATGCTATGTATTTGCCGTTGTTAATTAATTATTTAAACAATCAAAATATATGTAGCATTTGCACAATTATTCTCTGGGGTAACTTTACTTTTTAAATAGATATCACATTTTCGAGTTTACATATGAGGCAGCATTATGATCGGTCGATTTATCCTCGAATTTGTAGTTTACTTCGGCGGAGCACAGACATATCCTTTATATATCCGCCGCAATCACGAAGGATTTCCAGTTATGATAGCTCTGAACGTGCGCAGGAGCGTTATCAATAGAAACTCTCTCTCTCTCTCTCTCTCTCTCTCTCTCTCTCTCTCTCTCTCTCTCTCTCTCTCTCTCTCTCCCTCTCGTTCTGTATCAATTTCGATATCTACTCGAAATTCACAGACGTCGTGAGTAAGAGAGAAAGCAAGAGAAAGAGAGAGAGAGAGAGAGAGAGAGAGAGAGAGAGAGAGAGAGAGAGAGTAAGAGAGTACAATCGATGGTCTCGATCGTCTGCGATCTTCGGAAGCTCCGGCTGAGCTCACGCTGTATTTCTTCTGGACGACTTGAGGATTTGGCGCTCTTATTCATCTAGCAATCCCAATCGGCTCGCATTGGCCAGATACGTAAGGCACGGTACGTTTTTACGATAGCCAGAAAGGTTTGGAGTCCTTTATACTTATTCGACGATCCTTATCGATTTTATCCCCCTCCTTTTTACGGCACATTCATCCTTTACGACGTATCAGTAACGCTGATCATTATGTCGACTTTGCGGTAGATTAGAATTTTATGTATGTCGAAGATATGCTTACGCGCACATGAATGTGTGTGGGAAAAATCGATCATTACATGAGGAAAGTCGCCAATGGACTTTTATAACAGAGAGAAAGAGAGAGAGAAAGAGAGGGAGGGGGGGGGGGAAGATTGGATTACTTCATAATAAGAATCTCGAGGATATTTCTCAAATATTCCGTATGTAATACGCCCATGAATAAACTTCAAGTATCACTGCATTCTCACTTTGCTGCACAATTTATGATAATTATTGTTAGAGCAGTCAACCGTTATTTGTAATATCTCAAAACTCGCTTAAAAGAGGATTTAAATACTTGAAGTAAGTTGTTATCTCCTACAATATAATACGCGTAAATCGTCCTGGCATCCTAAGAAGGGGATTTCAGTTTCTTAGATATAAAACTATCAGAAAATACAATGACAGTTATCGTACCGTTGGCAGAAATTTCGACGTTCGTTCTGATGTTGAGAACGGAAGCCATGTTAATCTTTTCGGCCAACTGAAGAACGCCTGGAGAACTTGTCCCTCAAGCGAGTGAAAGTAGATTATATATTATATTTAATCAATTAATTTTTTCTGTTACTTTCATACGCATTAAGTAAATATCTTATAGATATATAAAATTCTAATAAAATATTAATAATTATGTATAATTAGTATTGTAATATTTTTGTAACAGATTTTTTTCGAAAGATCATAATTAAATAAAATATAAAAGATATTCGCGGTACCACCGGTTTAAATAAAAATATATCTGTGCATATTTTATACAAAAATTGATAAATAAATAGCATATTTTACATATGCACTTATAATTATGAATTTTCCTAATGACAATATATTACATAAAACGTGCAAAAATATGAAATAGCGCATCTTTGCTTCAAGAATGACACAAAAAGAAAAATTAGTAAGTTTCTCAAAAACCAAAGAGGATAAAATATTTTTTAACTTGACAGAGAGGAAATTATTGATTAATCAAATAACATTAGTAAAAACAATACACAATATTCTTAAAATTAAATGTTATTTTTGTTATTTTCATAAACCTCAAAAAATCATCCTTTGTGATTTACGATTATTTTTAACTACTCTTTTGAGTTAAACGATTTTGACAATTTTATAAAGTTAATTACTTTTAATGATTTATAAGATAAATAAATCAAATCAAAACGTTAATAATACTTGTAGAAAGTCAACGCAAGTTATAAAGTGAGTGCAAAAAGTATTCATACAGAAAAAACATTTTAAAAAATCTTACTTTTTAAAAAGTAAACAATAATCAGAGAAATGACTCATCAAAATGATATTGAATCAAAATTAATATGATAATTTCGACGTCCAACTAACGTTCATTTCTTGCTGGGTAATTGACAATTTATTCATAAAGAATAAAATAGACTAATGTTTCATAAAAGTGTAGGTATACCAACAAGATATGTATTTAATTATAGAAAATATATTAAATACATTAAAAATAAGCGAAATTTAAAAATTGTATTGTTTGAACGCTCAAAAAGTATTCGTACAGTCGAGAAATTTAACTTCTAAAATTAGGAATACATGCGAAGCTTGTTTAGAACAGAAGTTGTATTACTGTATAAAATTGCTGATTAATGGTTATTTTCTACAAATAAAATTTTTTTATAAAAAAAATTACATAATAATAGTGATAGAGGGAGACATTTTATAATAACTTTATCTTTTAGGTCATTTTTCAGTAGAATTTAAGTAATATTTCCAATATTATATGTCATATTAATTAAATCTAAAATTGCTACCAATATAATTGAACGCATTTTACAATCCTCAAATATAAAATTAACGTCATTTACACAAATTTACATGAATATAATAGCTTCTGACAAATAGTCCATTATATGTATGATATAGAAAATCTCACCTAAATTGTATTAAAAATGACTTAAAAAATAAGGTCGTTAACGTTATTCGATTTATTAAGAGATTTTAATAAACGTACTTACACACTGATGACTTTTTATTGGCACTTTACCGGCATTATTAATATTTCAATCTAATTTAATTCGTTTGGAGCTTGACATTGTTTCTAATTGTTTTTATAGGGCAATGTTTCTTTAACTTATTTATAGTAATAACTCGAAAATTACATTTTTTTTTGTTACATTATTTATTAAAGCAATGGTACGATATAGTACAAAATAACCTTTTATCCCATTTTATCTATCGATCTATAAAGCAAATATAACTCGAAATGCGTATACCTAATCGTCAGTCGAGTATGTGTTCCAATATATGTATATGACATCGTAACGAGAATTGACTTTTCTGTTTTTGCTGCGGGTACGACATAAGCACAGTGATAAGTTCCTCATAAAAGAATAATGTAACTGTGTTTCTTTTACGTCATACTTCCGAAAAGATTGCTTTATAAAAAAAAAAAATATAGCGCGCGTCGCTCAAGACTCATATTAAAAGATAAAGCGTATATCAAAAATAGATTCATTGTATACTGACAGAAAATATATAAAAATGACAAAAATAATGGTATTGCTGAAATATTTAGAAATTTAGCTAGACATAGATTAAATAATTTTGTTAGACTGTTAAAATAATTATATGGGATGCTTAAATTGATTGCTAGAAAGTCAACATTTTTTGTAGCATTGTTCATACTTAAAATTCCTACGTAATTATTTTGATGATCCAACAAAATTATTTTCAAATCTGTTTTTAGGAGGGTAAAAGTCGTCGTTTTTGCCAGGAAGTGAAATGTGTATTTTTATAGTCTTCGGGCTGCAGAATTATCGGAGCAATCAGTTTTCTGTAAACATGAAGAGAACATATAAGGATAATAAAACTTTTGCCATAAATAAGATATATAATGATCATTTTTAATATTTTAACTTCCAAGAACCATTAAATATATAACATTTTGACAAAGTTGTGACAGAGAAATAGAAAAGGAAACGAATGAACGAAAACTAAGATGTAAGACGATAATTAGATACATAGACGTTTTATATGTCCATCTTCTTAAACTCTAGACTCTTAAAGCTTGTTCATTGCTTTTAAACTTCAAACTCGTAAATCTAAGACAAAAAATCCAAACTCTTCAATCTCATACGCTTAAATTGTCGAGATATTATAATAATTCCAGTCCATTAGTGACAATTTAATTGTCAATTTTATGCGATTATAATTGATCTTTGATGTCAATTCCATCATACCGTTGGCATCAGCGTTATTATACAGGATGATTATTATATAGGTTATTATTATGCAGGGTGAGTAAAAAATCCCGGACCGATGAAATATAACATAAACATTTCCGAAAGAAATGTGTTCTTTAAAAGTCGCAGAGTTTTAAATGCTCTATTCACTGTTGATCTTTTGAATATTGTTCAGGATCATATTCTGGATAACATTTGTTAAGATCATTGGATATTGTTTCTCTTATATTCATTTTTGCATTAAAAATTTATTTTTATGTAAAAATGAAAATAAGAGAAACAATCTCCAATGACCTTAATTTTAACAAATACATATTATCCAGGACATAAGCCTGAACAACATTTAAAAAGTTTTAACTGTCAGACACTTTACGTTAACGCTAATACCGGCGGTGGTGTAACTTTTAAATCTTATAATTCGAAAAATACCTGATGATAAATACCTTTATTGTTTTGAATAACTGTATTGTTTTGAAAAGCTCTTGACATCCGCTATTAGATTCTGGAATCAAGTAGGGGGTGCCGTTTAAAAA